CAGACTTTTACATTGCTCTCAAGCAAATTTTTCTGTTTTTAGTTTTTACCTTCAGTCATCTTATGGTTGTGGAATGTGATTTCAACTCTGTACGTAAATTTTGGATAATGACTTTACAAAAGTAACAAAATTGCACAAAACAATCATTTGGCAAAATTTTCAGACAAGAAATACCCATACACTGTGAACTCATCCAGGAACCAGTCAAGAAAGGGCTCATAAATTCACATAATAACTAATTTAGTACATCAGCAATGCCATTTACATCAAGCTAAAATCCCAAAACCCATAAGATAAACCCCTCTATACAAATCTTTACCATATATATATACCTTAAAACTGCTATTGCTAAGATCTTTTCATCGTGCTACACGAACGAGAACGGGCCAGTTTGAATGTCCAGCTTCCTTCAGTCACCATAGCTTCTCCTTCAACCAGGCCACAATCGTACTCCTTTCTACAGCCCGGACAACGCCCGTCTCCTTCAAGAATCCTCTTGTGACAGAAAAGGCACAGCCTAAATCCACATAAGCATGGGAAAAATCTCGAATCTGTAGAGTCTAAATCCTCAGCGCAAATCGGGCAAGATATTGGCTCCGGTTCCTCATCCATCAATCTCTCACTCTCTGAATATAACGGCTCGTTTGGCCTATTTCTCTGCAGATTGATTTCTTCTGCAGCTAAAGCATCGGCCATAGACTCCCAATCGTCAAAACAATCACCATCATCTTCATTTTCAGCATCATATTCATTTTCTTCTTCATTCATGCTGCTACTACTGATACTACTTACGCTACTTGCAGTAATATTAACTCCCGAATCATTTATTCCCAATATGCTGCTCACTGGGCTGATTGGGCTCTTCGAAAGCCATGAATTGGAATCACTAAAAACATCCTCGTCTGTTGGCTTTACCACCAGTTTTGATACACAGCCACCAATATGTTCCTCTTTGCATCCATCCTTATTTTTCACTGGAAGCATTAAATGGCATCAACAAGTGCTACCAAGTAATTGATAAGGAAAACTAATGGACAAGAAAACCTAAAGTAAGATAATAATCGAAAAGTTTTTCAACAATTTCAATATAGATGAATACTTCCAAACTGAAATATAATACTCTTCCAAAGAACATGGACAAAGTTATATCTTTGTTATATAGGTACAACGGGTCTACAAACTTAATGGTTAGGCAGCCTCACACAAGCATTTGGGATAATCAAAATGCATACGAGTAAAGGAAGTAAGTTGAATATAGATGAAGAGAACCAGGAATATTTCACAAACCTTGAGAAAGCCACTGTTCCCTGCGAACATCAAGCTTGCACTGCTTCAACTTCACAGATCGGTTACCCTAAATTTGCAAAAAATTATCAAAACGAAAGATTGCAGTGAAAAAGGTAATAAAAATGGCAACTTTAACCAAAAAAAAGGAACCCAAAATTATTAAGAAGTTTATGAACCAAAAAAACTGAAAACACGTCGTGAAGTCAAAAATTCTCAGCACAATCAAACAATTTCAACAAATTGAAATCACAATTTCAATAAATTTTCTTTCTACGTTTCATCCCTCGAATCAATACAAACAACAACAATCGATTAACAAAAACACACTCATCCCACGATACAAATACCAATCAATAAACTTACTCTCTTCTTCTTCGAAGAATCCTTGGAGTTCGGCGAGGCCACGGCAACAGAGCCGTTGGGGATCGAATCAAGAGCCATGGCTGAATCAATCAACTCGGCCAAAGAAAAAGATGGCCCTAAAAAAAGATGGATAGACAGAGAAAAACCGACAGATTAGAGATAATTAGAGGGTGAGCTATGGAGATTGAAAATAACAGATTTCCTCTGTTTCTCTCCCCGAAACCTCTCTCGTTTTCAATGGCGTTTGGCTGTATTTATAGGGCTCCCGATAACAAATTTGCCCTTCGTTGTGCCGGTCACAGATCACATGGGATGATTTGGGCTTTTCAGGGTTAATTTGGACATTTCAAGTTGAATGAGGGTTGAGGCCTGTAGGACTGAAAGGACAAGACACTGAGCAAGATTTCAGTAATTCCTTTGGCCGCAAGATACGAAATAATCTACACGATATTTGTGTTTTTCTACTTGTTGCAATTGAAATTTAAATCTCAATCGTTATTTGGATTGTAATTTTTATTTCAAACCTTCTAATTTGGATTATAATTTAATTTCTTAATAAAAGTCATTAATTTATAACTTTTGCAAATCAAATTAGGCAATCAACATAGTCAGAGTAAAATACCACTTAAAGAGAAAAATGAGACTCTTTACGAGATGTGGAAAAATCGTAAACCGTCTTATAAATACCTGAAAGTGTGGGGGTGATTAGTTAAGATTTCAGTTTCTAAACCCAAACAAATGAGAATTGAACTAAAGACGGTCGATTGTATCTTTATTGAATATGCGTACAATAGTATTGTCTATAGATTTTTGCTTCATAAATCAGAAAATCCAGAGGTATTTGTTGGTACCACAGTTGATTAGAGGAATGTTATATTCTTTGAGAATATTTTTCGTCTGAAGGAAATGGCATAATCTAGTTCTAAATAAAGAACTATGAAACTGCTAGCGGTTCAATACCAGATGGTACTGAAGATAAAGAAGAATAATCGAGACGTGGTAAAAGGGTAAAAACGGCGAAAACTTTTGGACTTGTTTTATTACGTATATGTTGGACGATGAACCGAGTTCCATCATGGGAAGAAGCTATAAATAGCGAAATCGAGTCCATTATAGGAAAAAACTATGAAAACGTTTGGAAGCTCTGTCCAGCTCAGATAGACCACTATGAGAAGAAGCTATAAATAGCGAAATCGTGTCCATTATGCAAAATCATACTTGAGAGTTGGTTGATCTCTCTGCGGGTTGTAAATCTTTAGGATGCAAGTGGATCCTAAAGAGAAAATACAAAACTGATTGAACTATTGATAAGTATAAAGCACGATTAGCGGTCAAAGGCTTTAAACAAAGAAAAGGATATGATTTCTTTGATACATATTCAACTGTTACGCGTATAGCGTCGATAAGGGTGCTTCTCTCGATTGCTGTTTTGCACAATCTTGAGATTCATCAAATGTATGTCAAGACGACATTCTTGAATAGTGAATTGGAAGAAAAAATTTACATGGAATAACTCGAAGGTTTTGTAGCACTTGGACAAGAGAAAAAGGTGTGCAAATTGATCAAATCCTTGTATAGACTAAAACAAGATCTGAAACAATGACATTTGAAATTTAATCGTGATGTTGTCAAATGGGTTCAAAATCAACGAATATGGCAAATGTGTTTATGTTAAGAATACATCAAATACATTTGTAATTATATGTTTATATGTATACGATATGTTGATCATGGAGAGTAATCATGAAGTGATTATGGATACGAAAAGAAATTTCGACATGAAATATATGGGTATAGCTGATGTAATTCTTGTCACAATTTCACTACGTAGAGAAAGTGCTCAAGAAATTTAATGCCTATAACGGTCCGATGTCGAGGACACCCTTGATCTTGGATTAAATCGTGGCCAATAAAAGTCAACCAGTAGCTCAGTTGGATTATTAATGAATAATAGGGAGTCTGATGTACTTAACGAATTGTACACGATCAGACTTAGCCTATACGATGAATAAGTTGAGTAGATTTATAGCAATCCCGGTCATGAGCACTGGAATACTTTGAAAAGGGTACTAAAGTACTTGAAGTACACCCTTGAATACGGGCTAAAATACTCGAGATACCCGGGTGTCCTTGAAGGGTACTGTGATGCAAGCTGGATATCATACGAGAGATTCTCACTCCATGAGCGGATATATTTTCTGTATTGGATGAGGTGCAGTTCTATGGAAATCCACAAAACAAGCTTGCATAGCTCAGTCAACCATGGGCTTGGGCCTTGGGCCCAATCACTATATATCTTTTTGGTGCAAATTTATTTGCAATTCTGAAGCCCAAGATAAAATCCAAATCGAGTTTGACCCAACTAGTGTGAGAACATCCATGTTTATTGAATCGGGACGCGTGACCTTTCACATGTCCACCACCTGACTGTTTCAGAAGTTACTGGTGGAATGAATTTGAATTAATCACCTGAACGTTTTGTTAATGGTTGGGCTGCTACAAGCTGAACACCAAATGTCTCTTACATGTGCTGCAAGTCCTTTAAATAGAATATAGAGTTGTAGAGGAGATACACTGATCATATCACTACATTATGAACTCTCTTATAGCCTCACGCATACATATACTTCTCAGTTCTCAGCTCTGTTCTTGTTCGCCAGAACTCTTAAGACTGGTGTGGTACAGCTTGCGAGTGAATAGTCGTTGTAACTTTGAGGACATTACGCATACACCAGTCAGCACTACACGGGACGTATTTGTCTTGCGGAAAGATTTCAATCGCCTCGGCTTTAATCTGTCCGCATTCAAGTTGTATTTACATTTCTTGTTTAGTTCATATTGTTCGAACTGAACTCTTCAGTCAAATTATAGGTTCCTGTGTAATCGAAACACATATATTGTAACAAAAAGTGAAATGAAGTAACTAAAATCCAACACTCCGTTCACCGGACGGTGACCCATTCATCGGACACCGACCAATCACAGCCCCGTTCGCAGACGAGTTCCCCCAGCCGCGCCGCCACCTTACTCGACGACTCCTCCTCCGTAAACCACAATTCATCTTCCCCAAAATGCCCTCCCGAAACCCACTCTGGGTGATCGAATTCGAATATGCACCTCGGAGAGTCCGACTCGGCCGCGCCCTTCTTCCTCCAATCATCTTCTCCGGCAACGAACGGGTGGTTCAGAAGCATCTCGGCCGTCCACCTCCGCCTGGGGTCCTTCGCAAAGCACCTCGCCAGGAAATCCCTCCCCTCGTCGGAGAGAGTCCCAGGCACCCTCGGCACCTCGTCGCCCACCCCAATCCTCATCATCAGCGCCGCCGCGTCGGAGAACCCCTCCCACGCCGTGCCCCCGCCGGCCATCTCTGCCACCGCGCACCCCAGCGCCCAGACGTCTGCCGGCGGCTCCTGCTCCCCTTTGACCACCATCTCCGGCGACATGTACATTGGCGTCCCCCTCAATTGGGACCCTACGGGGCCGCCGCCGGCGAGCCTCGTAAGGCCGAAGTCGGCGATCCGGGAGGCGCCGTCGAAGCCGATGAGCACGTTCTGAAGCTTGATGTCGCAGTGGACATAGCCGGAGGTATGGATGTGGGTCAGCCCACGGAGAAGGGCCTTAGTGTGACTCCGGACCTCGAATTCCGGCAGTCCATGGTCGCCGGAATTTTTGACTTGGTCGGCAAGGGAGCCGCCAGGGGCGTACTCGAGCAGGACATTGTAGAGACGTTCGCCTCTCTCGAAAGAGAAGCAGCCGCCGAAGCAGCGTATTATCTCAGGGCAGCTCCCGAGCTTCTGGAGAATTGATTTTTCGGTGGCTAGTGAAGAGGAGAGAGAAGCTCCGCAGGACTTGACGGCCATGAGCGGCGGCAGAGAAGGGTTGCCGCCTCTGGAAAATGCCAAGCTCACGGTGGCGAAGCTGCCCTGCCCTAATTTCTCACCGCGAACCCAATCCATTATCTTTATAATCTATTAATTCAGACAATGATTTTGTGTTTATTTTTAGTTTTACTTTTTTCGATTTTGGGATTTGAGTTAGAAAATAAGAAAAAAACAGGGGAAAACAGGGCGGATTTGTGTTGTGAGTTGACTGTGTGAATGAACAAAAATCCTGTGGGATTGGGGGCTGTATTTATAGGGGAATAAAATAATAGTGTGTGTTTTTTTATTTGTATGTGTGTGTGCGCATTTATTGTGTGTGAGGAGTGAAAGAAATTAGGGCTGCTAAAGTAAAGATATTTTTTCTTCTTATATTTAAAATACTGCGGGCCTGCGGCCCACTTGCAGACTGGCGTGCGGCCCACTTGCAGACTGGAGTCCAGGATTATGTTAGGCGCGTGAATTTCTTTTTCAAAGTCAGAATCATCAACTAATTGTGCTCGTCAATGCTTAGGGGATGCTTAGATATAATTTTTTTGTTTGATTTGGTTAATTTTAAAAAATTTGGTATGGTTAGTCGTTAGTGGATATACTAAAATAATATTTAAAATAAAATAATTAAAGTTGTTTGATATAAAAGTAAGAGAAAAATGATTTGAAGTGATGATTAGTTAAAATTATGAGAGTGCATGAATAGTGAATTGAAGTTGATGTCTGTAAGAATGATTGATTGATAATATTTAATATATTAGTAATATTGATGATATTGAGGTTGAGTTAAAAAAATGGTTGAATTAAAAATGGTGGAATTTCCTTAATAATTTTTGTAACCAAGAATCCTCTTAGTCTTAGTCTTCCACTAATGGTGATTATTAATAAGGATAATGTATCCTTACATTAATGAGTGCCAAAAAAAAAAAAAAAGAAATCAATATGAAATTCTTTTCTGGTTCCCACCTCTATCTATCATCATAAAACTTTCTTTGTGTGTAGTTAAATGAGTGATTTCCATAGATCTTGTCCGCTAAGTAGTTCGTGCGATAAAAGACAAAGATATTAAAAATGAATCCTTTCCATAGGACTGTTCGTTAAGGCCTAAAAAATAATAGAGTTGGATCATCTATTTTTCTCCTCTCATCAACGTTATTTTTTCTGTCGGACCGTCAAACTTGAGCTTGTTAGCGCTAGCCCGTAAATTAATTATTATATATCCCGCTAACACGTTTATAGTACTATAAATTCTATTTTAGTATATATATTTATTCATTGATATAAGAAAAATAACAATTTTACTGATTCTTGTTCCTCGTATAATTTACCCAATTATTAGTTTTTATAAAATTTGTTGTAATATAATGTCATTATTATTATTTATAAAATTTATAAATATGGTCTCTTCTTCTTTTTATTTTATGTAATGGAAATATTTAGTATACGTTAATATTATCTATTAATGTAATTAATTTAAATCATGTAAATAAATTTAACATAAAACATTGTGCACAAATATTTTATAAAATATACACAATTTTTTTTTAGAATTTAATTTTATTATAATATTTAAACATCTTTGATTTAGCTAATTTTGAAAAACTAAATCCCTTCTATAATCAAGCGAATTTTATAATTTGCATCATAAGGCTTTATAGTTTATTCATCATACTTTGTAATGAAAAATATATCTTAAAAGAATTTCATTATGGAATGAAATCAAAATAAAAGAATGATAAAAAAAAAATAATCATGGTTAACAATAATATACAAATAAATCACATGTTGAAATTCAAAAGAATAGTTAATATTTTTTAATTTTATTATTTGGATATTAGTAAAGTTATTTAATGTATTTGGTCATTGATAAAATTATTTAATGTATCTGGTCATTAGCTCATAAATGAAAATTTTTATTAATTTAAAGAATAATTTGTTTTTCTTTTTATATATATAATGAAATAAAGATGAAGAAAAAATTACTTAACATGTTACAATTTCCCATAAATATTTTAGAATAAAAAGTCAATATTTGTGAAAAAAATAGTATGCTTAAAATTTAAAATATGTTTTCATGTCTATTTTGACAATAAAATAATCAATATGAATCATGAAATATTAAATTTATAGTTTATTATAATGGATATCAATGAAATTATTGTCAATATTAATAAAATTATTAAATGAAAGAATCTTTTTTTATCATATCTAATTTGATCTCATTTGGAGTTGTGTATATGAAAAATGCATATATTTTAAAAGTTCTTTTCAAATAAGATATGCATTTACTGTTCCAAGAATTTTCGGCTACTATTTTTTGAAAATAGTTATTCTCTATAAAGATAAGATAAGATATAGATTGTAGTTGCAAATAAACCAACATAAATTTGAAACATAATGACAATCAATTTACCCTGTAAAACTCAATGACTTTGGTACTCATCAAGGAATAAAAGCCTTTCACCTCAGATCAGTATAGAAAGTATTACAACATCTGAAAACTTCACAACTACATACACACACACAAGAACACACTGCTAATCTGTACAATAAATTTTTTTTAAGGAAACAAAAAAAATCTCGCATAATTCGAATGTGCTTGCTTATAGATAGGGAGCCAGATTTCAATATATCTGCACATGTGTATGTGTATAGGAATTTTTCTCCAGTCGAGCAATCGAGGATTACAAGAATTTCTGTCTCGTTCGGAATCCATTCACTTTCAGTCCCACCATTTCTTCTCGGACAAGGAAATAAGCTGCTCCATCAAAAACAAGATCACACGAAGTCAATGAATTGATATTTATTTATTTATTTATTTATTTTTCTGAATTTAAACAATACAAATGAATGAACAAATAATAGTTGAACCATAAACATGATTCTATTCGACAGTATCTTCACAATAACCATTGTTGTAATCATAAAACAGCTGCAAAATGACATGCTGAGTAGCATTACTCACATATATATCAAGAATTAAAGATCAACTTCAGCATGAATAATACTTTACAGGCCTACTATAGTATGAAGCAACAAAAAACAAACAATTAACTACTTTTATGCACAAACCTGACGAGCAACTTGTGCCAATCTTCTGCTTTCTCGTGAAGACTCTTTTAACAAGCTAGCTTTAGATTGCTTCACACTATGACCACCGTTTTGTTTAGCTTCCGTCTCGTTTTCTGTTTCGGTTGCACCATTGACATTAGATCCTCTAAAAGCCTCTCTCTTATGCTTCCTTTGAAATGTGTACTTGATGACTCTTTCCGTAACATGCTGGGTAAGCCTTGTGCTCGTATAACGCAAATTCGACTCTAAATCGTTTTCCAACAAAAACCCGTCTTCAAATCTAGCTTCATCATCGTCTAAGGGCACGAGTTTTTCCTTCAATTCATCTTTTTGCGAAGTAATTTCACGTGAAATTTTGATTTCCGCATCACTTGTTTCTGTTTCTAAAGATTTTTCATTTCCCAGATGAAATCTCGTTTCTGTTTTGATATTCTGACTCAGACAATCACTGCCTTTGGCTATATCAGAAGCATATCTCACACTCAAGGGCATCGCAATTTTCCTTTTCCTAACAGATCTTTTCCTTTTCCGAGAAAATGATTGCAGATTTCTGAATATTCTATCTGGTGAAAGTTTCTTCTCGAGTTCACTCAGAGTTTTAGCCCCGGAAGCTGGTACTTTGCCGGCATCTTCTTCATTTTCTTCCTTCTCCCTGCCATTAAGGGTCCGAAAATGTTTATATAGCTTTTAAGAATAAATATAAATTGATAGAAAGAAAGAAAGAAAGAAAGAAAATACCTTTGCCTTTGTTCTCCGCTATTGTTCTCATCATTTACTTTATCAGTTTTTTCAGAGAGATACAACACTTTATCTAGCAGATTCTTCTCACACGCTCGAATTCGTTGAGCACATTCACTTCTGTATAGCCCTTGTTCTATATGTCTAACTGTTACAGACGGTAAATCTCGATTCCTAATATAAGAACACAGATTTCTTTCGATCGGGTTCATCATTGTTCCATCGTATATTTTTTCTTGGGAGTTTGGGGGAATTTTTTTACCAGATTCATATAAGTAAATCCCATTATTGGTTGGTGGATTTGAATTCTGCAAATTGTCTTGTCTTAGTTGTTCGAGTTCACATTGAGCCTTTTCTAATTCGTGTCTGAGATCATTCACTATATCTTCAGCTTCTTCGAGTTGAGCTTCGAGCACTTCGATTTTCTTTTGCTGATTAAAAGAGGCAGCTTCAGCTTGACTTGTCTGCAAAGGTAATCAATATACACAGTCATATTGATAAAAGCAAAGGTTGACGATATATGAAAATCGAGAGTGTTTGCAAGCACAGAAACACACACAAATAAAAAAGAACGATTCTTCGATTTTTAAAAGGGATAAAAGGGTATCATATTTTTAGTGTTTTTCGTGATTTTGCATCATTTGATCAGAACTGTGAAGTAGGAGGAGGTATGATTTGGAATTTAACTTATCTTCTTGTTTGTTTTTTAGCACCAAAAAGAAAACAAAAAACATTTTTCATATTCTCCACCAAACTATCTCCCTTCACTCGAGCAAAATTCAACTTCTATTAGCTAACACGACCAACTTCTGATCTACTAAAGGCAGAAACTTTCGCAAAGACTCCCAAAAAGGACAGAAAATCTCACTCAGACCAGTTTGCAAGAAATGCACGTGCTAGTTTATGAGTAACCACACGAGAATCAAAACTATTTCACACGAGAAAAACATGTTGGCGTTTCCATAGCTGCAAAAACCACATGCCAACTTTACAAAATAATGACACTATCGAAAGTATTTTTCCGAGTGAATCCCTTTTAACTCGGCCAAAAGTAGACAGATAACCTTAAAGCAAACAAAGAGAACTAGCTACCGAATGAGCAAAAGAAACAAGACCACATGCTGATCCACATTTTTTAAAAGGACATGTAATATTCAAATCAATCAAAATTATACATGCTTCCTGTTTCCCTCACTTAGACAAAATCACGCAAATATGTAAGTAAAACTCTGTGTTCTTACAGAACCATTTGGGGGAATCCTAATTTAGGCAAACCACTAAAACCATAGTTTCAACGAAACCAACAAAAGGCATCATGACAATCACCAAACACATGAATCATCAGAAAACTCATACCAGATAGAAGTAAAAACTATCAATGAATACTGAACTCCATTTCTTAATTAATGTGCAATTTCCAATAAATACATCAAATGAAAATATAAAAAAAACTAAGAAACAGACTGAAAAGTTTGAAACTTTAAATTCCAAGATTCCACCTTGAAATCCATCATTTGCTTGAGGCGCATCAGCATTCTCAAAGCCTCCTCTTTCCCCACCTTCAACTCGTGCTGATATCGAGCAGCCCTTTTTTCCGAGGACATAACCCTCATTGCCGCCTCTTTAGACATGTTGAAGATCACATCAGCATACGCCTTCTTTAACTCTGCCAACTTCTGAACTCAAATAACAAAACCCAGAAAAAACAGATCAATAGAAAAAAGAACACATTTTTCACGGACAGATCTCACCATTTATATATACCAGCATAAAGTATCAAACTTTACCCTACTTCAAATTTTTCAAACACAGGAGCTTCTGAATCAACTTGAAAAGAGATGAGAACTTCGAGGAGAAACTAAAAACTAGTCCACACCATGATGTAAAAACCCAATAAAAAAAAATAAAATCGAAATGTAAGAAAACAACCCGAACCATATAGATTTCTTGAAATTTTCCAAATATACAAACAAACAAAAATACTCCACAAAAGCCCCCCAGAAGTCAAATCAAAAACACGAAGAAAATGCAGAAAAAGCAAACGATCGAAGCCCAAAACAATCCAAAACCAAATGCAGAAACAAAAGAAGCCAAAAGCAAGGGCAACGAAGCGGTTATAGCCATAGGGGAGCGAATTAAGCAGTTGACAAGACAGTCGAAAAAAAGGGAGTGGGCCGCGCCGCCGTGGATACAGCGGCATAAAACGGATGAGACCGCCGAAAGAGTCTGCAGAATTTACCTCGCTGTCCATTTCCTCCGATTACTCGATTTTATTTTATTTTTTCGGTCGAGCTTCGTGTTAGTTGAGGTTTTCGGTCACACAAGTGCTTTCACTCTGTTTTTCCTCGGCAAGTGCTGTCTGTTATGAACTGAATCTTCTGGCATGTGATAGTACAGATTTAACCATAGTGAGAACAGCCAATTACGAAAATGCCGTGGGCTTTTGAAACCGGGCCGCTGTATTTTGGGCCGAGAGCACTACTGGGGTAGCCCATGTTTGGTTCTTGTAGTATAACGTGGCACTTAAACACGTGGCATTTCCATTTTCCTCTCAAATCCCTACCCACTGATGAGCTTCACCAAGCTCTCCTATGACGAAGTAAAATGTTGAAAATACGGCCAATTTCCACGGTTGCCACCGGAACCACCTCCCGATTCTCAGGCGCCGCCCCACCATAGCCGCCAAATCAAGAAAATTGGGCCCAGAAGGTCTTCTGGATAAACCCGCCGAGATTTTTTTTTTTTTTTTTTTTTTTTTTTCTTTTTTTTTTTTTTTTTATATATATATATATATATGAGATGGTAACGCATTCTGTCCCAAGAACCGTGCTTTCTTACACCTCGTAAATTCGTATAGTAGAAAATAGGCAGTACGAGGTTCCACTTTCAAGATTGTAGTTTGTAGCTTGTGAGCTGGGCGGGTACTCTTGGGAAGGGGTGTCTTCTTGAGTTTGTATGTTGAAATGAGGCGTGTTCTAATAGAGGGTTTGGGGGAACGAGGCCGAGATGGTGTTTAGGAAGATGAACGAGAGTGGGGGTTTCTCCGTACATTATCATACATTGTTGTTTAGTTTAGAATTTTTGGAAAGGTGGGGAAGCTGGAGAAATTTTCCGAGATTCTTGCCGAGATGGAGGTCTGATGGAAACTTTTCGAATATAATGAGTTATAATGCATTGCTGGAGGTGTATGTGGTTCCGGTGGAAGGTAAATGAGGCTATTGGGTTGCTCTTTATCGATATGAAGGTGATTTATACCGATTTGGATGCCGACACTTATAATATACTCATCTGAGGTTTTTTGTCGAGTGGGGTATTTTAAGAATGTGAAGCCAAATATGGAGACTTACGAGTGGTTGATTCACACCTGAGGAAAGGTTGTGCTTCTTGAGGATATAAAGAAAATTTTGCTTCTATGAAAAGCGACTTTTGTTTGAGGAGGCTCTTTTTGCGTTTAATACAATGAACGAGGCCAGGAGTGTGTTTATTATCGAGACCTATGATTATCCGATTCACGCCTTTGCAAAAGGGAGGTTTTACTAGGAGACAGAGGCTATATTTTCGTAAATGAGCTGGTTGAGTGTTCATAGAAATCGGGATTTTTTTTCTCGAATGGTGTGATTGAGGTGTATAGGCAGGGATTCTGGTTTGAAGAGGCCGTAAAGGCTTATGTAGACTTGGAAAAGGTGAAATTTGATCTGCATGAATAGTATATATATACACTCTTGAGTTGGTTTTGAGCGCGTATTGCTTTGCAGGTAGTTGACGAAAGTGGAGCGCAGTTTATGGGAAATTAAGGAGTTGAGTTGGTTTGGTTAGTTAACCAAGTGTTATATGCTACTATGTGATGCTGGCTGTACATATGCAAAAACCGACAGGTCAGACTTTTTGACTGTGTACTACATTTCCTTTATCCTTTTTCAGATTCATGGTGCACTGTTATTTTCGTTGGGGAGAGTGGAATTGGTTGACAATTCTATGATCAAGAATTGTCCTTTCTCGAATAATAGGTTTTAGTTAATCCTTGTTACAATGGCTGAACGCCACTTTTTTTCTGCATTTATCTGCAAGAATACTTGCTTCTTATGGTTGTACATAAAAGAGCTTCGAATTAGGGTAATTAGTTAATAGTTGGGTGGTTTTTGAAATGCATGGTAGAAGAAACTGCTTGACCTATCTGCAGCAAATAAAATAAACTCAACACTTCATTTCTCTATCAAAACTCAAAAGTAGAAAATAAGGCATCTGTCTTACTTATATATTAATTCAAAATAGAAGCAATTGGATTTTCTCATCTATTTTACTGTAAGTAACGAGAAATACAACAACTATGAGCAATTGTGGTCAAGGTGANAAAAAAAAAAAAAAAAGTGAAAGGACAATACCCTGACTTATACAGTACCATTCATGCTCGTTACAGTAAAATTAGATCACTAACTCAAAGATTAGAATCCAAGTAAGCAACCCAGAGCACAAATTGGCAGCTCGTTTTTGCTTCTGCCTTGCCTTTTGTTTTTCTTCATTGAATCCATAAGTCAAGAATTTCGATTTTCGGGAAGTCTCATGATCATCCAATAACAATAAGAAGGGTTTCCGCTTTTTCAAATGAACAACTTGACGACCTATTTCTACCAACTGATTGCAGTCTATACTCCTATATTTTTTTTGGAAAGACGTTGAAAGAAATTCGATTTTCTCGTTTATTTCCTACGGCGACGAACACAAAACAAAGAAGAACTTTTGGATTTTTTTCTTAATACTTTTATAGGTTTCGCGTGCGTAAGTATGGATGTGTTCTCTTTCTGAAGAAGATTAGCAAATGAGATATGCTGTCAAAATAAGTAAACGAACATCTATGAGATGACATTTTTCAGATGCTTGTAATTCACGCTCTACGTGTTGGAAAACTGAATTTTCATTGTTATTTTGGCTCATTACTGTACACTGTACAAAGCTTCATGAATTGGATTATTGAGTAATTTAATTATTTGGCTCCATTCTCTCTTGACAAGCCTCCGAGTTCCATGCAATTGTCTGATCATTTTGTCAAGAAAAATGAGAATTGCTAGTTTCCTTCTTGTTTTTGAAGACTTTCTGAACTTCTTAACAGTTTATGTCAAGGTGGGACAAAGCCAGTGAATTGGTTAATGAGATGCACACAAATTGGAGTATCTAATATTCACCAAGTCGCTACCCAAATGATCAATGGAGAAATTTGACAATGGCAATAATTGGTAAAGTGTAGATTACATATTTAACACAATTCTTGAAGCATTTTGGTGTTTGGGCCAAAAATAAAGGTCGACGAAATAACTTTCAGGTCCTAATACTGAACTTATTGGCAGGGGGAGTATGAATTTGCAGGCTGATGGCTTCTTCTCTTAGGTATTATCTTCATTTTAAATCGAGCCAAGAAATTCTAAGAACCGAGGGAAATTTTACTTTGAAGTTACGCCTCTTGTGGAGATTGTCAAAGAGTTCAAATGTTGCCTAACATGTCTTGGTCTCGTTCTTTTGTGCTGCTGTCAAAACATATCGAAATTCGACAATGATATCATTTGAACTAGTTGCTAGATATGCCCGTGGTGATTTTATTTGCGAACTCTGAAAGATTGTTATACTGAATTGCAAAAATCGAAAAGGTGGTGAGTAAACTGTACAAAAATGTGGGAAGTTGTGACTTTTTTTAAATTCAATTTTGCCTTTTTTGTATAGACATGAGACTTTTCTTTTTCAATGGGGAGAGTTTGGTTCTTGACAATGACACTTTTAG